TGTGTGATTCTGTGTGTTTTGACACCCCAGGTGCAAGTCCCTTGAGCACGTTTACAGTCCTCCTGGCCAATCTTCCGTTATATTCTAACGTTCCTAACATTCTGTGATTATATTCCTAATATAGAATTCCTTATATTCCTAACATTCTGTGATATTCCCATGTAAGGTAAGGTGCCCTCCCAGCCTGTCCCAGCTGACTCCTCTGCATTCAGAGGGACGGCTTCTGCACAACTCGGTGGGCTCAATGTTACTCCTGCCTTGAGGAGCCCGTCTCTGGTTTAATATCCACTGCCTTTCCCCATTCCTTAGCTACACATCACTGACCAAAATTAAACGATACTCATTTGTTATGTTTTATTTCTCCAGAGAGAAGCGTCCTCGGACGTTCTGCTGTGAGGCTGTAGCAATGATCAGGTTCCAGAGCCACACTTCGTGGAGACTAAATACAGGTCTGCAAGTATCGCCCACCATTTCCTCATCCCTCTTTCTCTTTTCTCTTAGAGATCTTGTCATTACATCATTTATTTTCAGCTTATATTAAGACTTTACAGGATCCACTCTCCTTCTTCTCACTTGTGCTGGATTTTCCCTCATTTGTTATTTGTAAAAGCTGCCTGGAGTTTCAGACACTCCTAACTTGCATTTCAGCGATGCTTCTTGTAGTCTCTGGCGTTTCACTTATTCATGTGTTTTGATTAAAATAGGAGCTGTTACATTGGGATGTGCTCTTCCACTGTTACATATAGAATATGTTCCATCAGGTTGAAACAATAATTGTAACTATTTTCCATGTATTATTTTTGGGTTTGTACTATTGTTTTTACACTTCAAGAATGGGAGAGACAGGACTAGGTACTGAGAGCATATTAATGTTGGAGAAATGAAGCCAGTTTGGCCTTGAGGTGTTCCAATATTTTTATTTCTCAAAGCTGATCTTTTTATTATACAAATAAACCAGATTTTTTTTCCCCTAGGTTATGATTTTTAGTACATTATATATGTAAGAATTTTAAATGTATGTTGATTGCTTGACCTAACTTTACTGTTTGAGTTTTCACACCTTTGTAGTGCTATAAATGTGCCAGCCAAGTACCGACCAGCTCACTGGAAGTGGCAGAGAACACCTGTGCCTGCTTTACAGGTAAGAAAAATGAGGCAAAAGATAACTTTTTGGTATTAATTTCCTGCCTTACACTGATTTCATCTTTTTCTTGCCTTTCCCTAGCTTCCAGGCTCCTGTCCATTGCTCTAATCTGGGTGGTCTCAGAATTTCATCGCATACTGCGTGTTGGGTGATTTCAAAGTCCCAGTTTACCTTCAGTATGCACTTAGGGAGATAAAGTAAAGGAAAAGTTCTCTTCCTTGCCCATCCCCCATTCCCAGAAATCCAGATTTAAAAAAAAAACCCCAAAACTTAGTAAAACCCCCACATCACATTGCTATTCCCTAGGTGTGCTTTGCAACACTTCCTT